CCTTTGACCGCAACTGCACCAGATCCCGTAGACGATCCCAGATGTTTCTTGCCGTGGCAGTGGGTCTTTCGGCTTCATTATCTGACGCATTTTCGGTTGCCTCCGGCCTGTGTGCAACTCCAACTACAAGTGGTGCGAGAAGGCGGCCGACTGCTTCCGATACGTTTTCCTCCGGCCTGGGTGCGACTCCAAATCCTAGTGGTGCGAGAATGCGACCGACGGCTTCCGATACGTTTTGACGTACGGGATCGAACACCAAATGTTGGGGCCGTTGCGTCTGTGTTGGCCATCTCGTTTGCGCAAGCACCGGTTAATGAAGTTGCGCGGGTAGCCATTCTCTCTGAACACCCGTCGAAGATATTCTACCTCGGAAACCTTATCTTCTTGTTCGCTGCAGTGCGTCTCAACACGCCGATAGCGCGTCTTTATGCAACTGTGTTTATGGCTAATTGGATGGTCGCTGTTGTAATTCAGTACTTGCATCATGTTTGTCGCTTTCCCGAATATGTAGGTCTTTAGACCACCACAATCTTTGCGACAGACGAGGACATCAAGAAATGCCAGCTGGTCGTTCTCGTCTTCCTCCATCTTAAATTGGATGTCCGGGAAGACGCTGTGGAGACGTTCCTTGAACGTGAGCACCTGATCCCGTTCGACGAAGACGAAGGGCTCATCTACATGCCGCGTCCAGAATTTCAGTCTGTGGTTTTGGAAAACCAGCGACTCCAGCCATTGAAGGATCGCCTCGGCTATGAGTCCCGAAATCGGTGAAACCATCGGTGTCCCCTTCACTTGCTCGCAGATTGCTCCGTCGAACGTGAAGTACGTCCTGAGACAGAACTTCAGGAGCTGTAGGATTTGCGCATGGCCAAGGCGATTCTCCGTCTCATCGTATTTGTTTGGTAGGAGTAATTCGACGGTCTCGATTGCCAGATCCTGAGGGATAGAAGTAAAGAGGGACATCACATCGAAGGAAACCATGATATCACTTGGCAGGAAACTTACCCCTTTTAAGT